TGATTGTTATAGGACATTAGCAAAGTCTCATCTCACTGTGGATGTGATGTCACGGGGGAGCAGGGTCACATCGCTGTTACGTAACACGTTGTAGAGTATCACAGAGCCAGAGGAGACATGGAGTATATACACGTGGACTGCACATCCTATAAGGTCTCTGTTGGTTTGTAGTCTGTCTCATTGAGCAGGAATAATTGCAGCCCAATTTTTCAGACGAAAACAAAAGCTTACATTTTTTTTAAAGAACTTAGTCTCTGAGTGGACACAGCCTGAGGGAAGTAGATTTAGGGCAACAATGGCCAGTGGAAGTTTGTCAGCTCATTGCATGGGTTGGGTAATGTTACCCGGGGACGTGTCTCTGTTTTAGCAAACATTTCCATGTAGTTTGACAGTGTGAGAACTGGTTGAATATGTGTTTATTCAAAGCCAGGGTTGGCAATTCTAGAAAAGTTATTAACAGCAGGCTTCACAAAATGTGACTGATACATCCCACACTGTCCCATCAGCCCTCTCGTCAATGCTATGCCCCCAAAACCCATGAACTGACTGCTGCTAGAAACCAACTTTTCCCTGCTTCAGCGCTGTATGTCACTCATTCCACGAGGGCCACAGACAAACGACTTTTTGATTTTTTTTCACTCAACTTTCAAGATGATTTTAACAAATGAGATACAAAAGTTTAGAAACAACTTACCCATGCACCCTTCCTTTATATACCACAAACTACTGAAGGATGTAAAGTGATGTACATCTAATGATCCATATTAGATACACACACTGTTGTGATTTCAAAATTTGGCAACTGTTGGACCGTTGGGAGAATTTTGTCAGGTTTTGAATGAGCTTTTCTGGTCTTCATGACCACTTAAAGCGCTCCACTGTAAAGTTTTCCTTTTGCATCTCTGAGGGATCCCTCACATCGGAGGTTTCTACATTTATTTTTTTTCCTTACTCTTGTTGAAGGTTAAGCACAGAGGATGTCACACCGTGTTCAGTCCTATGAAGCAAATTGTGATTTGTGAATATGTGAATACGTCCAGGGAAATGTGGGTTTCAGTGTCTTGCCCAAGGACAGTTCAACATCGAACCACTGACCTTCTGGTTGGAGGGTGACTCCTATACCTCCAGAGCCACAGGCACCGCTGCTTTTAAATATGTGACATCAGTAACTAGCTATTTTTGCAGCAAGGCTTGTGCAGAATACAGAGGACGGGGTGTAAGCATTGTGGGTAGAGCCATATTTTAGGTTTTAAACTAATTAGATGGGCTAAGATACGGCAACAAAGCACAAATTCTAAATCACTTTTAAGGTGTTGCAACTGCCTTGTTAAAAGTTTAATTGATTTAAATTTGCATTTGTTTTACATCTGATTGAATCCCCTGTATAAGCCATTGGTCTTTCTATCGGTCCACAGAACCCTACGGGTCTTAATCTTTTAACCAGCTGCTCGGCCATCTTCACTCTTTCAAAGACATCCACAGAAAGCCCCCCCCGTGAGACTCAGCCAACGCTCCACAAACACGACATAGCCCGCAGACAGGTGCAGTTTTTGTTGCAGATTAAAAGTCCAAATCAGCAAGTTGTTTAAGCGGTGAGCCAAGAGGAGAGAGCGCGTAGAGGCCCGAGGCGCCGCACAGCAATGAGTCAGAGAGCGGATGAGGAGCGGGGAGAGAGAGAGAGAGAAACTGGAGGAGAGGAAGAGGAAGACAGTATGGTTTGAAGAGAAAGAGACAGATTTAGGGCTGTGTTTAGGTGAGGAGGGGGCAGAGAGAGAAGGAATGAGAAGAATGGAAAACTGAGGGATGAAGAAGACAAGAGAAAGTGATTTAAATCTGTGCAGAAGACGAAGACAGATAAGGAGGCGTTTTGTTGTGTGGTGCGAATATTTAGAAGAGGACAAACATGACGTCATGATCTAATACGCAATTTCACAAAGATGCACGCCACCCACAGCGAATATAAACGGATTCACAATAAGATGATTAAGATCTGAATAGATTCGAATGAATGAATATGATTTTCCGTCACAAAATCAGGTCCCACAAATAGAGATTTAAGTAGTTTCCGAGTTTCGCAGGGAGAATTCAACACAGCAAAACCTAATTAGGTATGTGAGGGTCTTATTCTTTTGTTGTAATTGATCTTTTAGGTGTCGACCTTTTACACATCTGATTTATTTATATATTCCTATAAGCAGTCGGGCGCCACCCACTTTTAATAAGAGGGTGTTAACCTTTTGAAATATATGTATATAAATATCATGACGTAGAGATGGTTGACCCTACGCAAGCATTGGACCTGCAAGCTTAATTATTTCCTATATTTCCCAGGATGCCTTTAATCCTCCCTAAACTCGGATCAGAAATACACAATCATAGCTATGATGTCTTAGGGTGAATTACTTTTTTCAGGGGACGCAGGTGACTCCAGGAAGTCTGCATTTGCCAACATGAGATACTTGCTGCTGATTAAACAAGGTGCTTCATTGTATCTGGCACCAAAACAGCGTCATAATGTCAAGTCCACTTTTTGGCATCTGTGACCCTGTTATTCACACACATCATCACACCTACTCATATAGATGATCAGAGAAGTGGCCAGAGGGATTCACTTTGCTGTTTGGCAGGTTACTTGTGAACAAGTTGCCCCTGGCTGTTGTTCTGTCAGGTCAGTCATATCCTGGCTCCTAAGCCAGATGCACGTGTGCGTGTGTACAGTGTGTGTGTGTGTGTGTGTGCGTGTGTACGGTGTGTGTGTGGTAGTGGGGGCAAAACGTATGAGCTTCATTAGCAGAACAGAGGCACTAGTGTTTGAATTATTGATCAAGGGAGTGAATACCATCAACAGTGTAAATTCAGCAAATGCAGAGGGATAGAGGAAGTGTTTATTCAAAGTGATGAGTATGCCTGCATGTGTGTGTGTGTGTGTGTGTGTGTGTGTGTGTGTGCGTGCATGCGTGCGTGCGTGTGTGTAGTGTGCTGTCAGTCCTTTGCGTTTCTTGCGTCCACACACATCAAGCCCTGAGTCCAAACATGACCATATTGGAGGAAATCTTGTCCATATGTTGTGCAGCCAAAAGGCCTCCAGTCACATCCAGCTGACAGAAATTCAGCACATAAAACATTCACTGAGCAAAATACATGTGGTGACGTTGGCCATAAAATAGAATGGGGGGAAATAAAACCGGAGGGGCGACACAGATCCCAATCAGGCAATGCTGACTTTTGAATACTTGAATCATGATGTCATTATGATGTATAATGAAGCTGCAGTAGGGTAGCGGCTGTGGGTCAGAAAGGTAAAGCGGCTCGTCCACTAATCAATCAGTGCTTGGATCCACAGCTCTTTTATTCTGCATTCTCAAGTGTCCTTGAACAATCTAATGAAGCCTACAATTGCCCTTGATGGCTGTGCCAACAGTGTATGAATGGTGTGAATGTTGTTAATTTAGTCTCAAAATTCATGAGCGGCAAACTTCTTATACTCTGTGTGCACAACAGTGGTTCCGCAAAATCGCCCTTCCCTTGCTTGCTCGTCGAGGTGAGTTTTGTGACTAGTGTGGCAGGGACAGCGGCTGATGCTCCTCTTCTTCCATTGGTCACCTTGAACACTCCAGTCCAACACTCCTACCTCTTTAACCGAGTTCCCTTTGACATTTTTCTGCACTTGTAGATTTAAAGTTAAATGCTTGCTCAGAAAAACGCCTTTCCGCTCTTTAATCTATAATTATGTTTTTTAAGCTTGTGCAGGCGTGGTTTTTTACGTGGGCAAATTTTGAGACTAAATAAACGCCATTGGTGTGTCATTACAAAACACTGCGCATAGAAGCCCTGTGTGAATGTGTGTGTGGGTAAATGTGACTTGTACTGAAATAAAGTGTGGTTGATAAGACTGAAAAAGTTCTATATGCATACAGTCATTTTATCCCACTAGTATCTCCGAGCGACATAATCTTGAGGTTATGTCTAATGAATGCAGATATACATACTACAAATGTATTCATGACATCATTGTGACTTCTTTATGACGTTATTGATCACATATCAATATGTCAATATAGGCTTCAGATTGTCTCTCTGTTATTTGTGGTTATATCTTGGAAAATGTGTGCTCAGATCATATTTTTGTTTAACTGCAGCTTTGTAACTTTTACCAATCAGCTCTGAAACTTCATCATAGATAGATATATATATATTTATCATCAGCGTCCCATTTCAGCTCACTAGCACAGTGTGTACGATTCAACAGATGCTGCTTATTTGAGTATGGAGGCAATGCAACTGTCAAACCAAGCTGTCTGGTTGGGGTAATGCAGCATTAGTTCCCTAATTGAGGTAGGAAGGCTCAAAAAGACACAGAATAATGCAGCTGTATTCGGTAAAAATAGAGGTATACACAAAAAATATAATTGAAGTTTGTTTGGTATGGATGTGACTGATGATACATCTGTCAACACAAAACACACACACACACACACACAGCACACAGTACACACATGGCAGATGTAGAAATACAGAGAACCACCTCCTTTGACATTTGACATGTAACCACACATAAACACACAGGTAGACAGCATCAAGAAAAAAATTAAACTACACACATTCACACACCTCCACACATGGTGAACACACCCTCCCCTGGGACGAGAGGATGTCATGTAAATTAATCGCCTGTGTGTGTGTGTGTGTGTGTGTGTGTGTGTGTGTGTGTGTGTGTGTGTGTAGGGCATCCAGCTGTTGGGGAGAACCCTCTCAGGGGATGTACAACACACATCTGTGAGAGTAACAGACGGTGTTTGTCTCACTCTCTCACTGACTGATAGAGATTTAGAATCAGACTGTGCAGCTACTCAAACATTAACAATCTACCTCATTTTACTTTTACAGGTTTTTTTTGTCCTTCAGTGAGTTTTAACTTTTAACTGGCTTATGAATAGAAATCAATGCACCAATTTAAAGCCTCTGTGTGTGTGTGTGTGTGTGTGTGTGTGTGTGTCCAGGACACTGACAGACCTGCTGAAGCAGCACGGGGGTGAAGTGAGCTCGGTGGAAAACGCCACAGCCAGTTCACCCAATGGGGGAAGAGCCAATGGCATCTCAGCCAGGATGATGCGCAGCAGGAGTGGTGAGTACTGAAAGACACACAGAGACACATGCTCATTGTTGTGTCTCCATGACTTCAGAGGACATTGATTTCCTGGAGACTAACCTTAACCATATGCTACTACTTGCCTAACCATAAACCTAACCTTAACCTAAACTTAAACTTAAAACATGTCTTCAGCTTAAAAATTAATTATTTACGTTATGGGGACCTCATAATGTGACTGTGTAAATAGATTTAGGTCCCCATAACATGAGTAATACCTGGACCGCACACACACATTCACACGCAGGTACAGGTGAAGTTGGAATAACGTTCTATATATAACCGATCCTGCTCCACATCTTTATGTGCCGAGAGAGTCAGCGAGCATCATTATTCCATGCAAATGAACCCATTTTGTACAAAAACATAAAACACAACACAAACAGAGAGAAGCTCAACAAACAGCCTCCATGCAGCATTTGGTTTTTAGCCCAGTTTGCATCTTTTTTTTCTTCATTGTTTCTATTTGCATAATGAGCAGTAACACATGCAGGGCCGCACATTTAATGTATTGCACTCTAACTTTCATGACAGATGAGAGCAGCTGTGTCATTTATCCAATGCTGTGGGTTCACTATACAGGACATACACAATATCAGAATTTGATTTTATTATCCTTTTCTGAGGCGCAAGTCTATGACGTTGTTTGACAGAGCTCTCACTGTCAAACAACGTCATCTTTTTCTGAGCAGTTTTATTTAAAAACTAAAAGAGTACTGGAAGAATGCAAACATCCACAAGGGCTGATTGGCCAATTATCACCATTTGATAAATAGACACAGACATTTTCTGGGTCACATTAAACGCAGGTAAAATATAATTATCTGATGTTGTTGAATAAACACTTGTTACCGTATAATAACCAGATCTGCACAAATTTGCAGAAGTACAGAGCATTCAGAATGTAGGTAGTGTAGAGGACAGAGTATGAGAGAGTGAACGACAGGAGGATCTTCATCTGTAAGTAGAACACAGGCTTGTTGCACGTGTAATACTGGTGCAACACACACACGCACACATTTTAATCAGTATGTTAATGTAAGCAGGCTACAACCCTACAGGCAGCATGTGCTGTTTTACATACATTTTCTATGCATCCACACACACCAGCCTGGATGAGACACTTTTCTGCAAGCCACAGTATGTGCCACTCATAGGTGTGACGGGGTTAAGAGAAGGATTGTTGTCATATAATATGGTTCTTTCAGGGAAATTGACTGAGCAGTTATCTCTTTTACAACAATGCCCTGAGATTACACTCACACAGGCAGAGAGATACATGAAAATCAAAGAGAAAACAAACACAGACATGACGAGCAATAATGATCTACAATAGTAAAGGATGAAAAGTCACATAAGCAAGAACAAGCAAGTTTACGACAAAACAGTAAAATACGTAAAATGCCAATAAAGCATCAATAACGATTGGATAAATAGAGTTATAGCAATAGTAAATCAATAGACAAGGTTAACTAAAAAAACAATAAATAACAACCCAGTCCACAGATCAACCAAAGCAGGAACAACGTAACACAAACAGCAGCTTGTCCGTGCGTGTGTGCATGTGTATGGATTAGTATGCGTTTGTGTGTGTAAGAGGAAGGGAGAGGGGTGTTTGATACAAGAGGCCGCCTGCAGCATCTATCTCTCTCATCATGTCATGTAGACGTTCACACACTGCTAAAGACTTGATGGGACGCACTGTACAGGCACTTGAAAAGGAGCAACAAGTTTTCTAGCTGTAGCAAACATTAGTCAGTACGTCTGAGGGAAACTGAGCCTCACTGACAGCAGCCTTATTATTTTGTCTCATAGTTGCTGAGAGAACATTGCTTGTGGCCAGAGCTCGTGATAGAAAAAGAGCATGAGAAATCATGATGGAGTGAATAAAAGTTCAGGCGATTTACTTCACTGAGTGTGAAAACCTGAGTGTGAAGCAGTTTTCAAATCTTGCATAGATAACGGGACATGTGTCAGGTGATCTGACGTGATCTCTGCTGGCTGATTGTCATTCAGATTAGCTGAGGGAAGAGATCGACAGGATCTTGTGCCACAACAGGTTACAACTGCTAATTTACAAAATAAAATACACACACACAAACCAGGACTGTATATTATGTGTGTATATGAGGTATAATAAGATTTGCCAACAATGCCAGTTGGATTTTGATCCCAGTAAAGTACATAATTTAGACAATTACACGTTAATAAAGCTCAAATATCCTGGATATGAATGCTGCCATTTTGCGGAGTGGAGGTTGAAAAATGTACTTAGCGTGTACTTTGACTTTTTATTTTGGTCCATGTCCTGTCTGCTAATGTGGAGGAGACAGGGACAAAAATATTGTAGTTCCCATGAAGCGCATTTATCTTCTTCATCACATCAACTCTTCACTATCTTTAACGTCCCTCGCTGGATTTCGATCGTGGCTAAATATTTTCTGTGCTCAGTGCTTCTCCATTTCAGTCACTGCTTCACCGTGTTTCCTTCAATCCCCTCTTCTCTTTACCCTTTCCTGCTATTCCTCCTGTTGCTGGCCTCAAACAGATTCTTATGTAAAGTCTTGTGTAGTTGTCGACAGCGCACCGAGGAATTTTAAATCCCCTGCTGCTGAGAACCCTCGACTGCTCAGGGATTGACACAATCATCCAGCTACCTATCATGGCACGTGGGGGTGGGGGACGTTTTCAAGAACATGGTGGGCTGTTGCAAATGAAACAGCAGGTGGCACAATCTAATCTGTTGATTGAATGAAAAAAAACAAAAAAACATGGGTAAATGTTGGTGTTGGACATGAGTGAGTCCGCTTCTTAACGTGAAGTGACAGCGGTGGAAAGCAGGGGGCCTGGCAGAGAAGTCAGTGTTGATGATGATACTTATTGATGCTAATCTGTTCCAGTGTTTATGCACATTACACCCACTTTTTCCCCAGAGGAGGAAAATGTCCACTGGCTGTTTGTGGTCAATACACACAGACAGAAAAACATAGACATTGTCCAGCAGACAGATTAGTGCCAATGAAACAAAATACAATCCTGATTGTATCACTTGAATACACTATGACATGTATTTTTCGAAAGAAAAAGGAAAGCTATGAATGAGAATTTAGCCTGAAGACACCTCATCTTAAAGCATATGTATCCTTTTGGGTCATGAAACTATTTTAGGAAACTCTCAGGTTGACATTTGAAGGTCACGTCATTGCTTCAAATCATGAGTCACCCCCGTCTGTCCCAGGTCTGAGGGAATTGCAGGAATCTTGTTGCTTTGCTTTATGCAGCCAGGACCATACTCACTTTACGTGTATGCAAATTTTAGTGTCATGCCAAATGTTCCCTAATTGAGCCACAGGACAAAGTGGAACACAACATAGAAAGTACAGACAGTATTGGTTTTTCCATTGTTGACAAGATGGCAGAGAGTGGCCTCTGGAAAATGTCATGCTGATCACCTACAGAGTAACTGAACACATCACCCGTTTCTCTGAGGCTGAGATTCTGTTTAAAATGAGATTGTGGAGATTGAAGATGTTTCCAATGCGTTATGGACGCGAAACTGGAGGAATACAAATATCTCTGGATGAAAAAGAGAAGCCACACAGAGAAGACGCTGATCAAGATGTCAACTTGGAAAGACGAGATTCGAGAACCTTTGGTGATGAGGGCCGACGCCGGTGTTGATGTGCTGTAAACACAGAGCGTGAATGTATGTGTCATGTCCTGTCTCCTGCTGCTCCACCCAGAAGCCACCCCTCACCTGAAAGTTACATTTCCCTGTTGTTGTGAACGCCTCTGAACTCTGACCTTCTTCATATGTGAAACTCTTTTCCAGACATGTTTCATGTGCGAAAATGACATGAAATGAAAAATATATTTCCCATGAGCCAGTGTTGTATATTTGTAGATAACATGCTTAATGTTACCAAAACTAATATTTGATTATTTTTGTAAAAGAATGTCTCTTTGCTTTACTTGTAAACCCCGTTAATATGTTCGAACTTGAAGGTAGCTGTAGCAGAGTAATATCATAATCATTTTTTCATATAGAAATAAATCATATCACGAGCTGCTCTGATTTTCATTTCACTTTGACATTCAAGGCTGCAAATGTCAAAAAGCCAAAAAAAAGTCAAGGAGAGTTTCTGAGATTTATATGAGGATCTGACATTAACTGAGGAAACAAGGCAAAATATTTGGACTAAAAGTCCCTCAAACGTGACTCATTGCAGAGAGAAAAGCTTGGAGCAAAAAAAGATGACCTATTTATCAAAAACGAGTGCAAAAGTAGCGTGACCCAGTAACAAGTCACTTCTCATGACATGAATTCTACCTGTTCTTCTCTCGGGTCGCTCTGTTTCTCTTCAAGCTGTCAGCTTTTTGAGTGTTTTCTTGCTCTCTCAACTCTTTCCTTGGGTCACGTGAAGCAAACTACTTATTCCTGTCGATTATTGATCTGGAACCTGAGCTGCCCTGCTCGTGTCACGTTGATGACTCTGACAAAAGGCATGTGTACTATCAGCACAGCAGATCACACAGAGCCGGGATTATAAAGTTTGTGTGGGGGTGAGATGGTTGTGTTTGTCTGCTCCGACTGGAAATGACGATGCACAGACTTTCACATATGATCTCACTGATGACGGATACGCACTCTGCTCCTGATCACATTTACTGTCGCCCCTGAATCTCAAGTAAATAAATCCAGATATAAATGCAAACAACCCAATTTGGTATAATCTGAATATTTAAGAAAATGTATTTAAAGTGAAATTCTGCTGCAGAAATTGTTTTTGTTTACAGTATTGACACAAGCATTGGCCAAAAGCTCTCGACTCTCATTGTTTTTCAAGGTGACATCTTCGTCTGAGCCTTCTACGCATACAACTCTTTATCATCAACACACCCACTAGCTTGCTATGGGAATGTTTCATGCTGTACTCTCACATGGGCGCATTCTGATATTTTCAGTACATGCAACTGAAGGGGGTGACAGAAAAAGTTCTTGAAAATGTGCGGAGCAACTGACTCGGACATTTGTGCTCTTGCAGTTCCGTGCACATCTAAAAGCAGCTTAAGAGAGAAAGGAATCCCATCATAGCAAAATCTTCTGTAACTCCTCTTGTGTTCCTGACCTGAAAATGAATCTAAACGTCCTGCATCTGCATCATTAGAGCTTCTGCTAAAACTGTGAGCTGTGAAGTCAAAAACATCGGGCACACTATGAGCCACTGCTCGTTATTTCACAGAAAACCTAGTATTTCACATGATAAGAGAAAAATACATATTGCCTTTCTGTTTCATCTTAAAAGCTGCTAATCTGACAGTGTTTCATGTCTGCATGGCATCGCTTTATTATTAATAATTACTTTCTCAATGATTAATAGAACACCAGAGACCATCTGAACATTATTCAAAGCAGCATTTAGAAATGTGGACAATTTTCATTTATCTAGATCTTTATGGATGACCATGGAAAGCAGTTCATTTACATTACCAGCAGATCAAGAGTGATCTGTTGGTCTTTTACTGTGACTTTAAAGGATCCATGAAATGAAAGTTTCCTACTTTTATTCCTGTGCCCTTATGTTAATTGTTAATTCCTCTTGTAATTCACCAAATGCATCAAAATCTTTTCCTTTCTGTCAAATGGTTTAAAATGTTTCGTGTCTTATCCTGCGTTTCTAACTTCATCCCTGTTACTATAAATTAACGGGTGCACAGGAAACTACACCGTCGATTAATCGGTTAAAACTGCAGGCGGAGGTGAAGGTGGTGGCGAGAAATGCTCAACAACAGAGAGCAGGCTATTTTCATGACTTTCCACATTGAGCTGCTAGTTACTGTGAAGTCTGCTGAGGGGGCATGAGGAAATTCAGTGCTATCGGTTACTGTAAACACCAATTTTTATCATGGCTATTCCCAAATGTCCCTCTGACGTCTGTGTCTTTAAAGAGCATCGTGAGGAAAATAACTCATCATCCAAACTATATGACTCCCTCACTGTGCGTCTCCTTCGAGCGGGTAGTGATTAGCATTCAGAAGCTGAGGCGGGTACACCTCTGTCTTAGCACTGACAGTCGCAGATGTGATGCAAACATCTGTCGGAGGCTGTGCTTCACTCTGTGTGACACTGTGTATACACACTGTGTACACACACTGTGTACACACACTGTGTACACACACACACACACACCACACACCACACACACACACACACACACACACACACACACAAAACCAGACATCTAATATGCTACAGATACTTTTTGTTTAAAGGTAATTACCTCTGATTTTGTTTCTCCTCCAGATGTGTGCATACAGCCTGTTGGGTGTGTGTGTGCGTGAGTGTGTCTGTGTGAACATTCGTGAGTACTGCATGTGTGTCCATCCATCCCCGGGGCTGACATCAAGTGGGCCAGCTGCATCAGTGGACTTCATTATTGCTAATAGCCAGGGCTTCACTCTCTCAGCTAGTTTATTCCATTGTTCATTAACCTCAGTTCATTTAGCATGAGACTGGCTGGCCGTCAGGGTCGGGGCTGCTGTCTCACCCAAAGTCACCGGCCTCAGGGTGAAAGGGAGGTGGGTTTAAACTTGTGATAATCCAGCATTTCTGTGACACTTCCACAGTACATGTTCCCACCTGAGACACTCTCAGTTCAACCACTGCTGAGCACGGGAGCTAGTTGATGACAAACTGACACGCATTACCAGTCAATGGCTTGTAACATAATCCAAATATCATCATACATACATCACAGATGAAGGAGCCAGAGTGTGTACAGTAGCAACTGGGGGAATAGAGCCGGGGTATCGAAGTCCTGTCAATACACGCACAACCCACTGACATGGAGGAGGTTTATGACCTATACTGCAGTCAACCACTAGGGGGAAATCAAGATGCTTTGGCTTCACTTTTAAGGAGCTGTCATCTCATCCATCTTTACATAGAGTCAATGAAATGTATTTTCTTTAAAACAATATGTTGCCTTCTAAAGATTTTTTTTGTCTGACTGTGTCTTTCTCTCTGCCTCTCTCCTACCAGAGCAGTACCATCTGAATAACTCAGCTTATGGGCCGTTTGGACAAGGGCTTCCACGCCCGCAAAGCAACCACGGCACAGTGGGACTGAACAAATATACTTCGCTTAAAGCTGTGGGTAAGTCGGACACACACACACAAACACACACCCACATGATGCTGACTCCAGCTGGCACAGTAACCTTTAAATTACAGTAGGTTGACGGTACAGGAGCTGTCAACTGATGAGCGTCTCCGTGCCTCTTGGCGAACTGATCTTAAAGAGGAGCTCATGGTGTTTCCTGTCTGTCACTGCCTCTTCATGTGAGAACGATATATTGAATTAGAGTTTTCCTCATGTTCTCACTGCCACAAGACAAGCCTGTAATTAACCAAAGCTTTATTGTGTTAATTATCAAAGCAACAGCAACATTTCCACAGCACAGGTCAATGCCAAGGTCAGAGCTCTGTAATACATGTATTCATGGAACATGGTCTTTGGGGCAGAAATAAAATTACTGGGGCAAACATGAAAGCTCTGTGACTAGTAAACACACCATCCTTCTGTGTCCTTACTTTTGAGTTTAATTACACAAAACTAAAAACAAACCTTAGTTTTCTTTGTATAGTTTCATATTACATATCATTTGCATATCTAAAATAAATATGTGGGAATTTAACTTGCGACCTATATTTGTTAACAAGTTTTATTATTAAATGTAAATTGTTTGCAATAGTTAGTTCCCTAAAACTAGAACTGGTGCGTCTGGTGTGACAATCCACTACTTTATTCTGAGTAAACTTTTCTGTGTTAAAAAAAAGAATAACTAACTTCCTGAATGCAACAATTCTCACCTTCCTATACGTTCTACACAATTTGTAGTATTTTTACTGCATCTGTATGATGCCTCCATGATGTAGTTTTGTAAGGGATTTGTGATGTAACATGTAAAAATGACTACAGCCTGGAGAGGAGGCTGCGGGGCTTTTACTAGGTGACTGTACAGACTGTTCCGTGCCGACAAAGGTCGCACACACGTTGTTGTCCTTGAATAGTAGCAGGTGTAATAGTGTGCAGAACTGCAGGCATCCCATTAGAACAATATAATCCTCTACCAGAGAGCCAAAGGCAAATCACTGCTTGTCAGGGTAGATTGTTTTAACCTTTTACCAATGGGAGGTTGATGGAGCATGAGTGTCCTTTTCAAGCAACAACTCTCTTTACGCACTGTACATATTTTACACTTGGGATCGGCCTGCAGGCCCCTTCAGATCGACATGATTTAGCATCAGAGGTACGGTCACTTGCTCAAGGGCACTAAAACAGTAATTGAACATTCAGTAGGTCCTACTGAGTTACTGTTGTTACACCTGTCAAGCCTTCAAATTGAGATTGTAATAATAGTGGCAATTTTAGAAGCACTGGGTACTTGTATGGATGCTTTAAGCTGCAGTATGTGGAATCGCTTGGTTGATGGTTGAGTCTCATTCCCGGGACGGTAACATTTTCAGATGGAGACTCTCTGTCCTGAGCTCCTTCCACCACACGAGCGCAGGCAGAAGCATATGCTTAATATGCACACATGACAAATGACCCACGCCCATTTTATTTGCTCCTTTAGAACAAGTGAATCACTTTCTTTTAATTTTGTTCTTATGTTTTTCTTATTAGAAAGTAATTCAAAAAGATAAAGATAGACTCACATAAATTGTAAAAAATGATGAAAGCACATGGAGAAAAATGGTTAGCGTTCATGTAGCCATTGAGTTAGCAGCGATGACCTCAGTGTTCTGTGACATTCATGCTGCGTGCACACACACACACACGCACACTCTGGACTCAGGGCAAGGGTATTTATAAACCGTCTTTGCTATATCTCCACATCCTGACACATACTTTAACCTCCATCATCTCTATTACACTCCTCAGTTTCTTCTCCCTCCTCACCGCACTCCCCCCGTCTTCTGCCGTCCTTTGTCCCAGTGAGAGGAATGATTCACCAACTAGAAATACCTAAATCACCAGCTTTACTTTCTGATCTTCTTCAAACCCGCCCTCTCACTGTGACCATTTTTCACCACCATCTGTTTTTTACATTAAGTTTTTATTTTACATTTGATTATTTTTTACATTCAAACACCTCATTTTCCATTTTAGAGACATTATAGTCAATTTTATTTGCAATGGGAGACACCACAAGGTTCTTCTTGCTAGTTATTTCTTAAAAAGTTTTTTCTTTCCCACATAATATTATACATATTTTCACATTAAATTACAACTCTATTCTTGTGATGTTATGACTTCTTTCTCATTAAATCACGATCTTATTCTCGAAATAAACAAAAATCCTTTAAATGACCCTAGAACTAACCTTTCCCACAAGGCCCTGATTTTATACTTTTTATTTTTTCTGTACCGTCATACGGGTAGCCACTGTAAGTAGGTCATACTTATTGAATGTATAAAAAGATGGATGACATAACAACTCTATTTTGGCTTCATTTATTATTAGTGGGAGCAAGAAAAGACATGTTGTCCATCTTTATATACAGTCTGTGGTCCTAACAGAAGACCAAGCTAGGTTGTGTGTATTTAAGTGATCAATGGAGAGTTGTAGTTCTAACAATTTGAAGTTTTAATTTGTAATAACAAAAGTGTGTCATTTCATTAGAGTTTCATGACCTCCCTTTACAAGTTTCTCAACGTACTTTGAGGTGCAAACGAAGCAGACATTTGTGACAGTTTGGAGCCGGGAGGTCCTAACATAAATGCATAATGGAGTAAGTGTGATTCAGTCATCAGTGTTCCAACAACGACAAACTCTGTGTTTGCACATAGACAGTTCATTCTAGGCTGCTTCTGTTTGTGACTCAGACGTGCATCAGACTGTGACAAATTGAAAATGACTCTTAAGGATAAACAAGTTTAAAAACGGCTCAATATAGCATGTGTTTGCTTTTCTGGCCTAGTTGTTCAAGAACACAAACAGAAAGTAGAGAAAATGAAAGGAAAAGTTCAATTTATTTAACTTATTTTCACACCTTTGGATGGTCTCTGGTTCTGTCATGTTAACAAGTAAAGATAAGAGATTTGGGAACATAGCATCCCTGCAACACAGATGGATGAGGAGTGGTCAGGTGGTCAGACAGGTAATAATATGTAAAAATATAAAGTTGAAATAAACAAAATGTCTGTGTCCTTTAGGGAACTAGTTGCAGGACTTCTCCATTTGTAAACTGTAATTGATGTTGACTGAGAGTTTGGGAACTAATGTTGGCGTTGGTGTAAATATTTTCAACCAAATGAGAATGACTAACTCAGAAAACAAATTCACTTTTCTTGCCTCTTGTGACGTCTTTTAGCAGTGATGAAGTACAAACACATTTACATGATTGACTCAGACAGCGTGTCCAACGCTATGAAATGAACAAAGCTGTGAAAACCAAAATGATCCCATGTCTTTCTGATGAATACTTCACGCACTAGGTGTTAGTTTTTCTCACAAACTGTCTTCATTCTTTCATTACAGCGGACAGTGCGTCTCGTAGCTACTACAAGAGCTTCCCACTCATGGACTTCTCTCACTACCAACCTGTGGCGCCTCCTGCTTTCCAGCCTGTACCAGTTCCACCCAAAGAGAAGTCCTACATCCACCAGCCCCTGCCAGTGCACCACAACCTCCATGCCCCGTTGTCCATCTCCATCCCCTCCAGCCATCTGGAGCACTCACACCTCCCGAAGACAACCACACACCCGCTCCTTTCCAGCTCGGCCTTCAAAGTCTGGGAGCCGACTGGCCGCCATGTCCATAGGCAGACCTCTGCCCCAGGGCACAGCTCCTCCATGCACAGCTCCTCCACGCACAGCTCCATCCGAAGACACGGCTACTCGACCCGGAGGCAGCAGAGCATAGAGAATATGTCGGATCTCTTCAGTCAGCCCTATGGAGGGATGTACGGAGGAGCTGCGGGGGGAGCAGAACAGGGGCTGCGGCAGCATGTCCAGGGGCAACACCCATCTCAACCCCCTTATTACCACCATACCAGGCAAAAGAGCTACTCCACCCACAGTACGACTGAGGTGACCGTTTGAGTGCCATCACCTCAGAGAGCGGCCTTCTGTGATACACAGGCTAACAAAAGGCTTTGGTGTTAGCTAAATGCCAGAGTTTGGGACAGTTGGCCCCAGCAAGTGAGCGATATTGAACGGGAAATCAAAATCAGATGTAGGAAATGAAAGTGGAAACAGTGAGATTAAGGGGTGAAAACAGTGTAGTAGAAACACTACCTCAGGTAGTAAATGGGATTATTGGACTCACAAGGGTATTGTACATTGATCATATAAAGTATATAGAGTCTATATAAATCTTCCGAGGTTGCTCCAAACCACTCAGGTTCCAGTGGGTCTCACGACCTTCATAGATTCTCAACCACCACAGTTTCAATGCTGCAGTGTGGTTTCAGTGTGATTGTACAGGCCTTGTGGGAATATGGATAAGAAAAGAGAAAAACAAAAATCCTATTTGCATCAACTCGAGCAGTTTTTGACTTTATCTGCGATGAGGTTTTACATGTTTCAGGTCAGATTTGGCAGGAAGAGAAACTTAGCAAAGAAACTCTGGTGAAAGTGCTGTAAGTTCATCAGGCGGAAAAATAACAATCCAGTTCATAGTAATGGTTTCGAAATATTCTATATTTGGCCCAAACCTGAAAAAACTGGGGGTAATACTTTTTGACGCAGTTGATTCAAAAAGATATTGGCTGTAGAAACATGCAGCTATTTTCATTCATTTGATGTAAATGTGGTTTGTAACATTGTTACAAGTTGTGGTTCACCTGCAGATCGAATAGTTAGAACTCAGGAAATCATTTTAAATATATTTTACAACAGCAACATCATTGTCATATGTCCGGTCCGGCAGCTGGTTGTAGCTTCATACTTAGAATAAGACATGAGAATGGCATCAATCAAGATTTCTACAGAAAAGCCATAGTGATTAAAGGGAATTCTCCAGTATTTTTCAACCTGGGCTCTATGGAAATAAATGTGTGTAAATTAATGAAACTTTAGGAATCAGTCCAGTTTATCGCCTTGCGACACATTGCACATGTGTCGCTCAATGAGGAATCTCATCTCTCTTTGTCCGTAGCCCAAACAAGTAGCGACAGCCAAGGAGAAATCAAATGCTCCATCAAGATTCAGCCATGATTCCAAAGGTTTTTGTAAGCGCCATTCGTTTACACGCCCACATTTATAAACATAGGGCCCAGGTTGAAAAATGTTGGACAGGGACGTAAGCTTGTCAATTAAAGCAGAAATTCAATTGAAACAATGGTAGAAAGCAAAATGGTGATGTCTCAATGGACAATTAGATCTGAAAACCCTGGAATAATAATAATACAGCTTTTTAAAGCATGAGGGTTTTTCGTTTTGTTTTTCCCTACATTTCTTTTCAGTGGTTGAGAGGTTTGGAATTCACAGCTGCAGCAAATGGGTTTTTTCTATTTTTTCTACATGAAATCAGATTCGGAAAAATTGCAAAGTAAGAAGTATTCTCAGTAATGTAAAATCTCTATGAATTATAATCTACCTTAGTTAACCGGATCACAGATCTCAGAAAAGTCATCAGGGCATTAAAATTTCATTTAGAGAAGATTTAAAAACGACGTTAGATAAGCTCCATGTAATCTATATTCATTTAGCGACAGTAAAACCATTCAGGTGATTTCCAGGCCCCATAGATGCTTTTTTTGATCAGTTATTTCCTTCTGTTATTGTAAAAACACTTCTACCACTCTGTTGCATCTCTCGGTCTACCTCCATGCACAGCTGCTCCTCTCCATCCCCTCTCGGCCTCCCTCACCCACATTCCAAGTCGAAGCATTTTTGCATTCTGTGCCATCAGGCTAAGCGTACAGGGACAACATCCCCGGGGTCACATTAACTCGACGATGAGGACAATGCCACCATCATGTCAGCTCCCATCAGCCTCCATCCCAACCAGAGAGGTAGAGAGAGGGAAAGAGAGGGACAGCGTAAGAGCCAGAGGCTGGGTTCTCTTTAGAAAAGAAGAGAAAGGGAGTAGAGAAAAATAGAAAAACTAACGTGCATGGCCACATGTTTTGCTTCCTTGGGGGAAGAAAAGGGAAGGAGTCACTGTGGATCTGGGTCTCTCACTACAGACCTGTCTGGGTCAGAACTCACAGAGTGTGGACGTGTGGACCCCTGTGTGTAAATTCCTTCCCGCAGGCACCATTGCAGGGGAATTCACTGAGGCATTTCCAGGCCTGGGGCTTTAGACATTTCTCATTTCGTCTGTGAAAGCTGGACAGCAAAGGACACTGTGCCGAGCTGTGGCTGCTGCTGCGAACAAGCGACAGTTATTGCAGCGCTTCCACCGTACTTGTTGGTGAAGGTTTAAGTCTGCGATGCCCTGAGGGACTGGGCGATGAAGTGAACCGCTAACAATGATTGCACGTGTGCAGAAATGCTTCCATAACATTTGTGCTGAAAGAGAAGGGGGGGGTATGATGCAGGACTTTTTATAAGGTAAAGAGTGGTTTTGTTGCAATACAGGTTCAAAAGAACAGAGAACTACAGAAGAGTATCAGGGTCAGGCATAAGATCAAGATGCTTTGGCTTCACTAGACTTTTCAGTCTATGGTGTTGATGTGTATTAAAAAACTTCAGCCAGGAAAATATCTATAAGACTGAGTATGCAAGATGTAGAGCTTGGCTAAAAACGAATTCAGAGGGTTGAATCCTATCTGTTTATTTTGTGTGGGAGAAATATCGAGAACAAATTCAAATAAAAATCCAGCTGCAAGTGTTCAATCTGTCCCAGCTCTTCAAAGACCTGATACTGATGATCACACTGTGTCATATGCATTAACATTAGTAGTTTGATATATTCTTAAAAGCTCGACTTTACTTTTAAAATTTCAATTTCATTGTCGATGCAAAATGGGAAGAAACAAATTCTACTCCTCTCATTTTTTTTTTCTGCCTGGCCCTAATACTCTCTTCCTTAGAGAACAAACACAATAGAGAAAACGCTTAATATAACAGCATTACTATACGAGCGGTGACAACGATCACCACTTAAGCATAACTGCATTTACATAAACAGCTTCAAACACACACTGTGTGGGGCTTCAGCAAAGCTACATGTCACTTTGTCACTGACGTCCGTAAATACACCTTATTTTATCAAATCAAATTCCGGTAAGAGCTTTTGGAGACTTCGCCGCCCACATGAACTGATGAATCAGACCCTACGAGCGACTGATATGCAAAATGTAAATGAGTGTTGTTGGTTTTTTTTACATTTAGTAAACATGACTGTTTTTCTGTCCTGATTTCCTGAGAAACAAGAGCTGAAGTCGGAGCTGCAGGGTTCACCTCCCTCACATCCTTTTTATATCATGCTGCATATTAAGGAAGAACAGGCACATGAGCCTGAAGACGACAAGTGACAAAGCTGTAACATTAAAATGCTCACAGTTATCTGACACGTTAACAAGTAAGTCGGGAAAAGTGGTTCCAGACACATTCTGTAGTCTGTATTTGAGTGGATTCTTTGGCCACTTGCGGGCAGCAGAGATGAGAACAACACCTACATTTGTGTAGTTACACATGCATACGAGTCTATGCGACGTTATTGTTCATTTTGTCTCTGGACATCTGACAAATCAAAGTCTAAACTACTCTCTTTTCACTTCTCTGAGCTGAGAGACGCTGCAGAGGCAACTGAAAAGTCTCTGTGTGTTCATCACTGCACTTTCATTTAATCTTAAAACTACAGGTCATAGCAGAAGTTTAAACTTACGTAAAGGATTTTATTGTTTAAAAGGTTCTGATTCTCCTCATCTGAAGTTGCTTCAGGCTTTGGTGTCTGGATCACAATATGTAAATAAAGATGGACGAAGCCGATCCACTTTCTACTCTCACTACTCTACAAACTCTGAATCCAAATGCCCAAGATGGCAGCATTCATATCCTGTATATTTTGGCTGAATTTCTGGATAGAGAGAGGAAGTGGAGAAAAGTCATCCATCTTAATTTACTGTCTATGGTTGTAAGCCGCAGTGTCGAATCAAAACCAGATCTTACAGTTGATTGATGCAGGCCGAGCCCCTTACCCTCGTTCACTCTCTCACACACACACTTTAATTATCACTACAGTATGTTACGTTTTGGCAAATTGTTAATTAATGACCATGTGACTGACTGTCGCTCTCCTCCTCACATACTTAGATGCCCACGCCTGAAACCACTCCTTCATTCTAATCACAAATGCAGCAAAGCATCCTGGGCACCATTCCCTCTAAATGCTAAATGTTGGAAGCTTCAAATCTTGACATCTGCTGGTTGAAAGAAACAAAATCAGTTTCATAAGCAATAGCGGTTTAGTTCTTTGCTGTGAACAAGTGCTTCCGATTTTTCTCTCTTGATGAAGTCGTTTTCTGTCCCTCTGTTCTCCGTAGCTGGAAAAGCCACTTTTTTCATGAGTTGAATATAAATGTTTGACGTTTGCATTTTGATTCAGTGTCTTTGAATATGACATTTTTTTAGCTTTCATATTGTGCAAACCTCTGAAAAATCACACGTTCTGCTTTATTTATGAATATAGTGTAAATATGCTTATTTAATTGAAATCCCGATGTATATTTTGGTTAAATAAGGGCTTTATGAACTAGGTTATTTTAAGAGTATTTACTATAATTGCAGTCACATTTTAACTGAATCTTTTATTTCATGTTGATGATTTTAGTAACATGAAACATTTCTATATTAACTGACTTGTGTGCAATTTTCTAATGTGCAATAGTGAAGGTACAGTATGGTTTTTTTTTAGAGAGTTTTCACATCTGTGGTAAAAACACAGTGAAACAAATGAACTGTAGTGAAGGCCAAAGCAATCACAGATCAGATGGACTGCAATTCTAAACCATTGATAATCTTTTGTGTAACTACACAATAGTGACTGGGATGTTGTGCAAAAGCCAGTAGTGGCACATGTGTGCACGTTGCAGTTCCATGCACAGGAGATTGTTATATTTCATACTGTCTGTGTTTAACTGCATTCAATTCATTTCCTAGCACCGACTGAAAAGAGGGAATTCATCCCACGATGGCAATCTATGAACCTCTGCAGGTGATCGTCTTGCAGTGTCTGTTAAGCGACAGGCTACATAACAGAACACAACTATAGATAAATGTACAAATACGAATATGATAGTCAAGTTAATCGAAAGTGTTTTGGTGTGATATACAGTATGTAGCAAAAAAAAGTGTATATACTGTATGTACCTGTACTTCTTATTTAAAAAAAGAACTGATTTATACTCAAAATGCTCTGGAGATGTTCTTTGCAGCGACTGTTGAGTAATCAAAGTCACTTTTGAAGATTAAATATTAAAATGTAAAAATAACACAAGGCTTTGGTTTGATTCGCGTTTGTATCAAAGAGACGTTGATACACTCCCATCATGCAGCAGGAACCTAACTGGGTCGACTACTTACTATACAACACTCCCCGCAGCCAAAAAGTGACTGACAGCTTGACAGCAGCCAGATGTTCTTAGTTGGATCAAGTTACTTTCACCATAAAATATCCTAATTACAGTAGTTGATTTGGTTCTGAAGTTGATCATTTGTCCAAGACTTTCCCAGTCGAGATCTGAAATGCACCCGTGTCCCAGTAACCACTAATTCACCTGGAAATGTTAAAAATGTAAACGCATTCAAGATTCTTGTGATTTGTGTGCCTTGATTTTACCACTGCACCAGTAGTGCCACCTTGTGGCTGTTTTTGATACTGCATAAACTCAATGTATCCTAGAATATGCCTCTCCTTATTTTAAAGGAATAATTCTTAGTCATTATCAAATGAAAAGTCATACACCATCGTCAACAGAACAGTAAAATGTTAAAAATGCACTGAAAAGTTTAGAAAGTCAAATCTCAACTGTCACAATCAGTGTTTTTACTTTTCAATAACAGCTCAGACATGTTTGTCAATAATATGTTAAAGTTTGAATATGAACGTTTATATTGATTCCTCTCTGCATGTCAATATGAGAGATTTACCCCCCCCCACCAACTGCTTCATGCAATTGCCACATATCAAAAATAAAATAGAATCATATTAAATACTTTATTAAAATAATTCCAACCTTGAACAATGGAATTCAAGACAATTACACCTTATGGAGACGTTAATTTGATTTCATTCTTCTTAAGCTTTAAGCATTGTTAATAAGTATGTGCAATAGTTAAAAGTATATTCCAATAAGAATTAATATTTCAAAGTCAAAGGAAGATTATTGAACACAAAAAGAATTTTGTTCTAATATGAGAACAAACTGAGAACAAAAGTGGATGGTAGATATATATCACACCATAGTGATATCATAGTGGAGTGAAGAGTGAAGTGGTTGTTATCCTAACACCTACTGTGCATATAATCTACTGTGTCTGGCTACAAACTTCACAAACCCTTCAATGGTCAATACCATTTGACATAAGTCCTGGATATGTAACAGTCGATCTTTATAAACTGAACTAACCATCAAAGATAAAGCAAATGAAAGAAGTAAAGATGAAAAATGATTGGTCCCGTATCTAAAGTAGCACTAACATGCCCTGTCGTCATTATATTGTTTTTGATTGAAGTGTCTCAGAGGTTACAAACTTGGTCCAGATAACACAGGACCTCATTTGGTCCAATACAATGATTCACTGAGAGACTGATTACTTCATTTCTAACTTTAACGTACTCTGACCCTGCCCTTTGAGTAAAGTCCTGTCAAAATAAACTCCACAGGGAAGGAAAAAATAAAAAAGGAAAACAGGAAATGACAGCGTTAACCATCCCATTGCCTGTGTACAGCAGTGAGCTGAAAAGCACTGAAGTTATATTCAGATGACCCCCAGCTGATTGTGGAAGAAACATGTCCCGGTGGTTTCAGAATAAAACGATCTGTCAGCTCTGCCAATGAGGTTAAACTTTGGTCTTGTAGGTTTGTGTGAAGAGACTAAAATGTCCTAATATTGTAGATTTATCTTGCTAACTTCTCATGAACTGCTGAATTAGCTCCAATCTGGCACCATGGCCTTGATTTGTTTTGTCTTTGTGGTTTTTAAACAGAGCCAAGTGGTTCTGTAAAATCAGTTAATAAACAGTAACACATTTAGAGGATTAGAAACCCTTGGACACATGATAAAACCCATTAACACCCATTTAAAATTCAGATTGGAGCATAACTTTGCAAACGTCAGGAGAATTGTGATAAACTGCAATTAACAGCATCCCCACTGATGAAGAGAGGCTGTGCAAGGAAAACGAAAAAGGCTTTTAGCCAGCCTGACTGACCACAAGGAGATGATGGGATGGGAACATGTGATAACTAACTCCACTCGTGTTCACAAAGAGTCCCACTCTCACTCAAACCCTTGAATGAATATATCTTCATCAATATACAGAGCCCTGTCTATCGCTGTCCGGTTATGTTGCTGCCTCCAGGATTAATGACGACGGAATCCAGTAAGGGACGGAGAGCCTGGCCAAACGGCCTAAAGAGGAAACACAGCAGAAAGAAGAGTTACACTGAAATAAAGAGGCCTAGAAAAAGTCTGAATGGATTAAAGTATGCGAGCTGGGGAAGGGAACGTAAGAAATCAAATAAATACATCAAGTGTAATGAGATCCAATTGAGACAGAGAAGCACAGGGAGAGAGAGAGAGAGAGAGAGAGAGAGAGGGAGCGGTTATGTGGTCATCGAATCACAAGAAAAACTCTGACCAGCAAATTAGTGCAGAATGTTGTTAACTCCATCAAAGAAGTTATGTTTCCATTGCCTGTCTGTATATCAGACAGTTGTGGCCTGACCAAGGAACAACCCATTCAAATTTGTTTTATTTCTTGAACATAGGGAGGGTGTTTTCTGTTATTCTCATAAAAAGAAAATGTTTGTATATCTGATGTGGAACCTCATCTCAATAAGATATGCAATATGCTGGTAAAGTGGCCAAACAGCCTTGGTGGAGGTATTTGACTGTGGCTCAGGAGGTAGAGAGGGTCGTCTATTACCCAGAGGGTCAGTGGTTCTTTCCCCGGCTCATCCAGTCTGCATTCTGTAATGTAGAAACTGAACCCCCAATATGTGTAAATAGGCTAATTCAACTTGCGCTGTAAAGCACTTTGAGTGGTCGATAAGACTGGAAACAAAGTCCATTTGAAGTTCTATTTTGAAAAGATGATTGCATTAGCTGTGCTTCTCACAGTCGAGTCAGAGAAGAACACCTGACAGCATTTGGACAACTATGATTTCCTTGAGAGCATCCACATGAACTGAGTGTGAGTGACAGGGGCCAAAGGAAAAACGAATGCAGAGAATGCAAAGATGAACACTTTTGTAAAACTTTGCACACAAATTGTCAACTTCTTAGTGGATTGGTTTTGCATCATATAACAATAATATTAAATCTAAACTATACACTAGGAACTGAAGATTTCTAGATTTGTGGCAAGGATCAGTAAATGCAGAGAGTTTAGCAACAAAGACACAAAGTAAGGTTGAGAGGAAAATAAGAGCTTTGGTGTTTTGTGGTGATTATTACATTGAGTCAACTCACGTGGACAGTACTTCAGATGGAAGGTCTGTAATGTACGATGGGATCTTTTTGCCTGTTAGGAATTGAGCCACCTCGTTGCTGAAACTGTTGCAGTTGTGCTCGAACAACTTGTACTTGTCACTGCTGTGAACCCAGAGAAAGAAGAAGAGAGGAACAAAGCAGACAGGGACATATATTTAGAGAAAGGAGGCCAGACAGGGTGTAGAGGGGTGAGTGAGTGGCAAGAAAAAAACCAGATAGAGACACTTTGGCGGCCGCTTTACTTCCATCGTCTACATGTTTTCTGTAAATTTAAGCTTATGGAATTCAAGATTAATGGGTTTTTTTATATATAAAATATTTATTGGGATCACTAATAATCAAAGTCAAAGATTTATACATTAAAACATGCTTTAATACTAGTATTTGTGAAGACTTAGAGCAGCAGCAAAGCATTTGTCCTGCAATTATTTATTGTTTCATTTGAGTCCTAATTTAATGTTCCAAGTTATGTTGGCATATATGCATTAAAATGTTTTCCAAAACACAGAAACTATTGCCTATAACTACAACAACTATGATATAGTGCTAATATAAACATTTTTAACATTTTAGAGACACACTCCACGGCCTGACATCTGATACAGCAGCACTTGGATTTGCAGTGTCAGGTGAGCTGGAGCTTTTACCTGTATGCAGACTCTGCAAGTGAAGTCAGATACTCAATGAAGATCTCTGCAGGAACCTCAGTGATGCCCAGGTCCACAACGGAGTCAGGCTCACCCAAAGGGGTACCACCCTAGGACACCACACACACCTCAGTGTACACCATGTTTCCATAACTTAGACAAAAGCTTCTTGATTCATTAAATTATTCACATACAGCATTAACAGTCACAAACACTAATGCTTGATGTACTTTAGAGTTAGGTCAAAGGATGAAGTTGATTCTTACAGGTGAACAACTGTTGATGCCTTCTCCAACAAAGAAGTACTCCTTTCCATGGACCACAATCGCGGTGTGCCTGTAACACACAAAAAAATGTTTTCCTATAAAATCAAACCTTTGTAAAGTAGAGCCCGGCTGGTATATTGATTAGCAGATAGTATGAATCATTGACAGACACATTGGTAGATG